GCCCAATACCTGTTAGCATTATCGCAAAACCTGTGAGTCCTAAGTGAAACTGGGTATCAAAGTGAAATGAGTGCTATAGTGAAATAGCGCTAAGTGAAACTGTGTCAAGCGGGGGTTGCTTGTACTGTACTTTTCCTGCTTCATTTTAACAGCAGTAGTGAACTGTTCCTTACCCATGACATCTCGGGATATACAGGAAACATCCCAACACACCAATTTGTGTATGCATGTCCTTTCTACTTACTTTATTTGGCATTTCTTTTCTCATGGGTATATAGCTTGACATAAACCAGATAGATATACCATGTTTCTCCAGAAACACTGCATTCAATAGCAAGCCCCATAATAAAGTTACCATGAGATCATGGCAGTGATAATGGAATAGCACATTTTCTGTTAAAATATTACATTTTATGATGGACTTATATATCAGTGTTAGGAAAGTCTCTTACTTTTTTCCCCCAAAAATGTCTCTTTCTTGGTCCATCACAATGAATTAGTCTTTTTTAAATAGGATGCGAGTAAAGTTGTATCAGACTTTCCAAACATAAATGTTATCTTGTAAAACAGTAAATACCCTTAGGAATGAATTTAATTTCAAGATTCAAAATATTCTTCACCTCAGATATGGAACACATTTTTGCTTTACAGGCAAATGAACTTGCTAATGAACTAGACACTAGAGAAAGAATTTCAGCGACTCTTATTTCCCTATGATTAGTCAATGACACAACTTTTTATCTAATTTAGAAATAGATAGCTCTTTGTTTGCACCAGAAAAAAGTAATTTTTGTTTCCTAAGTAAATTCAGTTTACCTTCCAAATAATACAATTTAGTTTATTTATAACAATATTTTAATATACTTACTGCTTTTGAGTGAAAATCCAAATACCAGACACAGAAAGGAAGTTGAGATAGTATATTGTCAGTGTGCTAATATCAATATTTGTACTGCATGAGCATTGCTGAAACCAAAGATTTGCAAAGACATTAATGGTGTGGAGTTTCTCCCCTCCTACTTGTGGCAGACAGTGTTTGAGTTCTGCAATTTTAGATGCAAGTATCTAAATTCTATCTAAGCCCCCCAACACCTAAGCACTTGCTTGAATATCTGGCTGTAAGGATAAGATTAAACTTAACCTTGTAGGCTCCTAAATAGGACTTAAGTGGAATGGTTGAAGCTAAGTCGTAATGAGCAGTCTAACCTGACCCTGTTCAGTGGCCCCAAAATTGCCAAGGTGCCTGCAGTTATTAAGCACTTCTATTTTGGATTGAGAGGATTCCATAGTACCTAGACCTAAGCTACTCTGCATGCAAAGAAATGATCTAGACCAGCCACTAGACCAGGGGCAGGCAAAATATGGCCCACGAGCTGGATCCAGCCTGCCATTCTATTTGGCCCATGGAGCCCCTAAAAAATTTAGTAAATTAATATTTATTTGCCCCAGCTCCCTGTCAAAGCTGGCTAGACCCACGGGCAGTAGGACCCAGAGGGAGCCCTCAGCAGGCTTGCAGGCTTGAGCAGCCCAGCCAGTTCTCTGCTTTCCTGCCCCCGCCCTGCTCCAGCACCAGGTGGTTGTGGCTCCCGGCTGCATCCCCAGACCACAGAGCAAGGGACCATGCTCGTAGGGGTGTGTATGTGTGTGTGCGTATGTGGGCAGGCACAGGGGCAGAGTATGTTCGTGTCTGCAGGCACGGGGCAAAAAGTGTGTGTGTGTGTCTGCAGACACAGGGGCAGTGTGTGTGTGTGTGTGTGTGTGTGTGTGTGTGTGTGTGTGTGTGTGTGTGTGTGTGTTCATAGGGTGAGTCCCACCTGCACACCCCTCCATACACATGCACCTATGCCTCCCCTTGCACTGCCATACACAAACCCCAGCCACCCTCCCCCTATACCCACCCACACCCCACACACCCACAGCCCCCACAAACCTATACCCACCCCAACAATATAAAAGAATAACACTTCATTTTAAGCTATTGTGCAGTCACCTCCATGTACACTACACAAACGCATGTAAATCAGGACAAAAATATTTTTTGAAAACAAATTAATGAATGTTGTAGATGATCACTTTTTGGAATATAATTTGGTATTTTTCTCGTTCTGAGATGGCAAAACCCCTTGCTGAAAGGAG